GGTTGAAATTTTGATCGCGTTGAACGATGAGGGTATTTTTCGGTAGCGTTGACTGAAGTAAATGAGGGAACTGATGAAGATTGTAGATTTGTATTCAAACTGGATAACGATGATAAAATTGTATGCTGTTGTGTTTGTTGATCGAGAGTATGGAGTATTGGCTGACGCCAATAAAATGTAGTTGGTGTGATTATGTGACGAATTTGTTTCGACCAAAAGTTGGCAATAAATGTGGCTAATTTTTTCTCTTCTTCAGCGTATAGTTGTGGAAGTTTTTCGATGATTTTAGGGTCATCCTTTTCTGCAATTAAATGAGTGAGATTTTCAATTTTTTGTTCGATATTGCCGATATTCTCAGTAACATATTTAATAGTTCATTCTAGCAATTGTTTGCCGGAGGATAGACAGATATCGTTCCATTTTTAATAAAGTCATGTTGTCAGCGCCAATTGTTGGTGTGGGAAAGTGAGTGAGGGAAGATGGTAATGAACTACGGGTAGTATGAGTTTTGCGGATAGCATTGTGATTACGAAAACGGATCTGACGATTAATTTTACGTTTAAGTATGACATCATTCGGGAGAGGAGGTTTTTTTATCGGATTTTGTCTTTCTTGAACTTCCTCCGACATCTGGCGGAGCTTTTCACAGCGCGTCGAATGATGTGTTGCACTAGGCTTACTGTTCGGTGGTTACGGAGAATTCTTGATTTTACAGTTATTGGTGCTAAATCGCATTAGCACAAAATCGACTTTTTATACGGAGAACAGAATCGGTCCAAATTTTTTTTTGAAGAGCTTATGATATGAGTCGACGGGCAGCAAAGTATCTCTTGATTCAAATCACATTTCACACTTTGGTGCCATTTAAAATGCGCTAGTATTCGCGCGAAAATACGAAAAGTGATTTGAATCAAGAGATACTTTGCTGCCCGTCGATTCATATAATAAGCTCTTCAGAAAAAAAATTTGGACCGATTCTGTTCTCCGTATAAAAGGTCAATTTTGCGCTAATGCTTGCTTGTTTGGAGTATATTCTATTGGGTGTATTCGCCTGAAAGCGGTCGGAAGGGTCCGGATTATTGAATATGATGATGGGATGTAATTCTGATGAGTTTCATAACGATTGGAGGGGCTAAAGTTAGTGGGCGGATTTCACGTCTGATGCGGACCTTTGGTAAATGCCAAATGTAATTGTTTTCAAGCTGTCGCACATCTTTTATCCCACGTCTTTGAAGTCCCATCTTTTTGAAGTCTAGTCACACCTCGATTATCGTCTTAAACGGCATTCATCATGAAGATGTTACTGTAAAATTGTTTTTTCTAAACATTTTTGCAAATATCATGTTTTCTCAAAAAAGAACTAATGCGTTTGGCGGGTGTTACCCTAGTGAAATATTTTTTATAAATTCTGATAAGAGTCTTATGAGAATTTTACGTGGATCTTATGTAAAATTCCGCAAGATATAAGATAAGTATAAGATTCGTATACGATTTACATAAGATACTGATAAGGAATCCATAAGAGCTGGCGAAAAGTCGTGATTTTCTCTTATTAGATACTTATATCGATATCCGATATGATCCTGATAAGATTCTTGGAAGATTTCGTTAAAACAGATTATATAATTAGCTGCTGGTAACAACTTATTAAAATGTTTTTCAACGATACATTCTCGGTCGCGATCAATTCCGAAACTCGTTTCTCTGACCACTTACTATTGAATAATGAGTCATGTAAGTAGCTGTACAGGAAGTTCTTTTATGACTCTTTCTAGTGCTTTATTAAGACAGGTATGAAAGGAGTTTTGATGCATATTAATATTACTGGAACTGCTGTGTCTTCTACGACTTAGAGAGTCCAAACTGAATGCCATCTTACAGAGAAAAAAGGATCACAATTCACATTTTTGTAGAGGTTCGTTTGAAAAAGTGGAATGTATGCGATTGAGTGAGATGTCGTGCTGTGTAGGCTTCTGTCACATTATTTTTCGAACTTCATTCTCTTTATTTATTCATGATAAATTAAGAGAAGTTATTCGGTGGCCCTAAAAAGAGGAAAAAAGGAAAGGAAAATCATTGTCTAAGACAAAGACACATTGTCCTTTTACACATTTTTCGCCAGCTCTTATGGATTCCTTATCAGTATCTTATGTAAATCGTATACGAATCTTATACTTATCTTATGGAATGCTTGGGACTATCTTGCAGAATCTTATATAAGATCCACGTAAGATTCTCATAAGATTCCTGTTAGATGCTTACCTGTAACATGCACGTTTCGTGTAAGCTTCCCGACTGTTCCTTATATAAGATTCGGTGTCTAGGGTAATAGCAATTCATCGTTGCAACGGGTTGTAAAGTTTGATAAATTTTTGAATGTTATTAGTTTGGATAAAGAACTTTAAGAAGATCGTTTAAGAAGGAAAATGGACAGAATATGTTGAATAAAAAGTATTGATATAGGCTGGACTGTAAGATGAATTTTTGTTTTAATTTTGCCTATAATGTAAATGAAAGGTGCAGAATGTACCCGTGAGTTTGAAAACGAACGGTAAAAGTTTTGAAAAATTGAAAATATGCAGGTAAAATGGCAATGTACAGTGAGCAGTCTGTATGAACGAACAAGTTTTTCTCTAAGTTAGTCCGAAAGAGTTTCCACGGTGGAAATTTGTGTGAAAACGGTGTGATTAAACAACTTAGTACCGGATTATTGAACAACTCTGTAGGAACAGGAGCAAGGGTAGCTGCTGCGTCTTTAGCATCCTATTCGATATTCCTGATGAGGTTCCCTTCGACACATCTAAATGTAGACGAATATCAAAAACCTCAGAAACATTTACAGTAATTCCTGACGTAACAATTTTTGACATTGGAAGAGATGCCTAGGGTGGAGGAGAGTAGTAGCATCCTTTGTGCTGACCGACGAAAAATGCTGATTAAGTCGTGCTCTATTAACTGGACTGATTCCAATATTTTTAGCCAAGGGATCGTACAACGATGGGATGCTAGCATGTTTTGATCTTCTTAAGCAATGTTTTAATAAGTTCCACCAGGATTTAGATGTGTTTCTCCTAGAAGAAATTCTTTGAAAGTAAACATCTTTCGCAATCGAAGTTTATGTTTCTAAACGATTATTAGCTTTCAAATATTTTTTATGATCAGTTTGACTTCCTGTCTCCTGATATTTTTTATTGCGTTTTTGCTTCGTTCGATGCAATTTCCTTAACTTGTCCGTAAACCAAGGTTGATTGCGAGATGTGACAGTTATCCATTTATTAATTAAAATGGTATTGGCTATATTCAAAAGTTTAAGTTGGAAAGTAGTTACTCTGTCCTCACAGTTATTCTACGATGCTAACAGTGAATTCCAGTTTACTGAAGATGGCTCAGATCTAAAAAGTTCCCAATCCGACTCTTTGCATTTGTTTTAAGGTGTATTAATCATGCTAGTGTACTCTACTGTGGAACAACAAATACGAATCTACTTAGATTAAATTCTCTTCAATATGGTGCAAGTTTAGCCGTTTCTGGAGCTATGAGAGGTAGTTTACATGAAAAAGTATGTACTGAATTAGGATGGGTACCACTTTTTATCAAACAAGAAAACGAAGACGTATTTCCAGCTATACCTATTAAATATGATTTTTTCGCTATTCATCGTCTATGTTTATAATCGATCGAGTTTATGAATCAAAAAGTCTAGACAAGTTGTCAGTAAGTTGAGCATAGAATTGATAGATTTATGCAGTTCTGTTTTGGGCGAACTCCTGTTTGATACTACAGACAAAATGGTGAAATGTGCGTCTTTGAAAAATTTCGGGAGACTGCAGAAAAAGAACAAAGCTCTACAAGAAGAATGAAATACAGTATATGAGCTTCTTATTAAGGTACTCTACGAAAGATACAATGAACACTTTTCCGAATGCCTTAACAATAATGGAATATTGGGATAAATAGTGCGAAGTTTCAACCTCAATTACTTCCCAACCCAAATAAACAATTTTATCGATTTTAGTTCTTGTTATTTTGCAATATAAAAGAAGAGAAGATAGCCATTTTGTAGCGCTCAAAAATCTACGAAATGACAGTATTTTAAATTCTTTATTATTACAAGAGGTGGAGAGCAGATTTTTCACTTTTCTGATCTTAGAAAGAAATGATCATTTTCAAAGCTTGTTGTATCTCTGTAAATCTAACATAATTTTCACGATATTCTTTTACTTTTAAGGGATGTGGAAAACTGTCCAGGATGATGTTTTTCGTAGAAAGATGGCGTTTGTTTTTCGTAGAAAGATGGCGTTGATGTTTTTCGTAGAATTAGATGGCGTATCTTTTAAAAGATATTCAGGCTTTATCAACTTCTGGGATGACATATATTCGAAACAAAAACCGACTAAAAGCTTTGAAACACCCTATATAAGTACTATCCGTCTCTTTCTGTTAGAACTTTTATTATTGTAAGTTACTTTTTTGTCTATGCTATGTTTTCCATCCGCGTAATGACTAAGAATTCATGCAGATTCAGGGATACGGACTGTGGAAAACTTACTTGAATTTTATTCAGATTATTGCCGGCGACATCGCCTACAGCCTCTCTCCTCAATTGCATCCGCCCTGTCGTGGAAAATATGGGAAAAAACAGGATAAATTTACAGGTTCCTCGCTAGGTTTCCTCACAAGAACTTCAGGTTTTTTCCTCAAGAGACCGATGTTTCTCCTCAAAAACTTGATCTGAAATCATGTTTTTACCTTAAGAAACCGATGGTACTGCACAAGAACTCTCTGTTTATTCCTGAAGAGACCGATGTTTCTCCAGAAGAACTACATGTTTAATCTCGAAGACAATGATGTTTCGTCTTTTCACGAAAGAAATCGCTCTTTCTTCGCAGGATCCTTGATGTTTCCTACACAAATCAGAGTTTCATCACATAAACTTCGGGTGTTCTCCGCAAGAGGTCGCGACTTCCCCACAAGTAGTTCATGCTTTTCCAACCGAAATCGGTTCTTTCACCTCTAGAACTTCATCTTTTCCAAAAAGAAATCGGCATTTCCTCACACGAACCTCAGGTTTAGTTCTGAAGCAACCGACGTCTGTCCACAAGAACTTTTTTCGTCCAATGGTTCTGCACAAGAACTTCCGTTTTAATCCTAAAGAGACCGATGTTTCTCCAGAAGAACTACATATTTCGTCTTCTTTTTATATCAATCAAGCACGAGAATATAAACTAGGTCAGATCAAATCTCTCTACGTACTGTCGCTTCGTCTTTGCTCAAACGAAACTCTCTTGAAACTTGAACGAGAACAGTTGTTTAAAATATTAAAGATGAATGGTTACCCCGATCATATTATACGGCGAGGTCTTCGTGAAGTAAAAGAGATCTTTAAACGATTGAATGCCACTCAAACTCAGGCACAAACTCAACAACAAAAGAAGAAAGAAATTTAAATCATTTTCTCGTACTACGGTTATGAAACCATAGAGTTAGGTCAAAGAATTCGTAAACTAACTGAAAAACTACTTCCAACTCTTACAATCAATCTGGCCTATCCGAAATCATCTACTTTGAAAAACATTTTCTTATCCATTCAAAAAGGAACTGATGACACTCGAAAGAAGAAAAAACTCATCTATTGCGTAAACTGTAAAGACTGTAATAAGAAGTACATTGGAGAGACTAATCGTATGAAAACAACCAGAATGATAGAACACAAGAACGATATTCGTAAAAATAAACTAACATCACTTATTACTCAACATTGTAATACCAACAAGCATACAATGGACTTTAACAATGTTGAGACTTTAGCATTAGAATCAATCTGGAAGAGGAGGGTTATAAAAGAGAATTTTTAACAAATCAACCTCATGGTACAGCAATTAATGAAGTGAAATACAAATTAAAAGTATTCTGTCACTCTAAGAGTGCAATTTTATCGGCCCAAAAACTGAGTTCTATGAATACAAAAGAAGCTTCTTTTGTATCATTCCATGTGTTTTTCTTTTGTTTTACATTATTCGATGTACATATATATATACACTAAAGTTTGTGACACTCTAAAAAATGCTTATTGTCTGATGATTGTGACGATTCTTTGTCACAACCTCTGTGTCCTGTATGTACTTCTTTCGGTAGGGCTACTCTCTTTTGTTCTGTTCTGTTCTTTGTCTGTTTTTCGGGACAAATACACTTATTACACCCCCCTCATATATCGACTATTTCAGTTTAAATAGCCTTTGCGGAGTTCACTGAGTGCATTCTTAACAGTCTCTGATCGATAGATCTATGAATCACGCTATATCGTTTTATTCGTTTACATTTCTTCCACTCTCGCTTTCTCGTGCACAATGGTTATACACCCTAA